GTCCTGCCACTTACCATAGGTGTTCCCATCCTGCCCCTCTTACTACTACCAAAAATGAACGCTCTAGGTCCACGGAGACAGGAGTTATGGATTTTCGGTCAAACACACGCACCGACACACACACAAACGCACACACAAACACACACACAAACACACCGACACACCAACAGACACACTTAGCGAATTATATGAAGTAGGGTAGCACGTCAATAGCATGAGAGAACGACATCAGCTATGAGAAATTCAAGTGAAGGATGTTGTTCTCACAGGTACTATCCTAGACCTATCCAGTTAACTCGAAGCAATTTGTGGACAACCCACTGCATGTAACAGAAATACCTGGAAAGACTTGAAATCGATTCAGAAGCGAGAACAGCGCGGCTGTAGTACTGCCCCGTCACCTCGCTCATTGCCCACCAAAGTATTACAGTTCCATTACCAACATGAACCACTTAGTGCACTCAAAGGTTCTTGCCTTCCTCAATTCCTTACTAAAGCTAGAACGTTGAATCAGTCCCTATCACTTACCATCCAGGACCTTTTTTATCATGCCATCTGCACCAACTACTAAAATGTAGAAATTCCAATGGCTGGGAGAAAGCGCAGAGGACCCAGTGTCTCGCCTTCTAAAGATCCTCAGTAGGCCTTATCAGTTGGTATTAGTCACCCTAATAAACCATACACGATGCTATCACACCCTCGCCACCCAGCGAAATTTCAGTGCTCCAACGCTAACGCGATATGCACCAAAAGTGAGAGTCATGTCGCCTGTCGGACCCACCACCAGCAATCCCAAAACAGAACAAACAAGGTTGCGCAATCCTTTAGACTGTTTGAATCTTTGTAACTATTCATGACTTGTTAACTCAAAAAATATTGAGATAAAAACCCTGTCACTCGAGCACCCGACAGCCGATCCGTCGAAACGTGGTATATCGGAAGGTTCACGAAGGACTTGAGATCACACTATCCACAGTGCAATTCAAAAAAAAAGAATACAAATGAAATGTACGTCACATTGATTTGTAAACTATTTAAAACAAAAAAACAGAGAAATTGAAGAACTGGAAAAATTACAACACATCAACAATGAAAATAGTTATAGAGTCATATGCTCGTGCTTTATCACATGATCTCACACCACGTTTGACGTCACGTGGACCCCTTTCCATAGAGCACGATGACTGACCCATTATAAGAAAAGACAATCCTTGCGCGCTAATATTGACGCTTCAATAGGAGGGGTCCGAGTCCATTGCCCTGAAGGTGTGGGCTTCTGTTAACGCCGGCCTTTGTAATTGCCCCGGAAGTATGGGTTTCTGCTACTGCCGGCCTATGTCAATGCCCTGGAAGTATGAGCTTCTGTTACTGCAGTCCTATGTCACTGCTCTGGAAGTATGGGTTTTTGTTAATGCCGGATTATTTCACTGCCCGAGAAGTACGGGCTTCCTTTATTGCCGGCCCATATAAGACAAGATAGCTATCAAATAACTTCCCCTTCGAGCGAGGAGTGAAACAATCGCTTGTCCGCTAACCCAGCTAATCGAAGCTTTATCACGCCAACCGATTGGCCGCAACCACAACAAACCCAAAATTGGTCATAGACCAGATCACAAAAAAAGAACAAAAAAAAGAAGAATTGTAAAATGCAAAAAAATTCAGATATTCTAGATTGATAAGAGCTATACCAGCTCGTTTTCAGAGCTTCATTTTCTACAAAATTAAAACACAACAAAACCATTGTTATGAGAGCTAGAGTAAGAACAAAAAATTAATATTGAATTTCTGGAGACCCAAAGAAATTCCACTCACGATATTACAACAGAATCAATCCCTTAAACCCTCCCAATCGTGCTAATCAACATTACTTCTGCAATGCCCTTCTTCGATCGAGCATCCTCACCTATCTTCGTGGATACTTCGTCCGAGGACCGAGCGTCCTCACTTATCAATATTCCCGACTGCGACAGAATAGATAGGGCCTCTGCGCCCGTAGTTGCGGAAGACGTCATGAGCACTCTCCAAGAGCGTTAGATATCTGGCCACGGCTTTCGCGACAATGCACAACCTGCAGGGAAGAGTCGAGTATGTATGCGAGCAGCATGGAGGGACGAAGACTCGAGGAGGAAGAGACTAGCAAGAAGACAAACAACAAGGCAAAATCCATAGTTCACAATATTGTTCGATGAAGTCTTTTTNTCAACAAGCTGTTTGCTCGAAACAAGGTATTACCCTTCAACATCACAAAAATATTCCTACCAAATTGGACAAATTGGAACTCTCTACGTTCACAGGAAAAGGAGTTATGCTACTAGATTACGACAGCTAACCAGCAGTTAATGGAGAGTCAAGGTAGCCCTTTGTTTCGACATCAATTTCGACGAAACCTATCCGACCGCAAATAATCTGGGGTACCCAGTCATTGATATGTTTGCAAAGAGAGATATTCCATCGATACATCTTCAATGACGTTATTACCACTCGAGAACAGCTGTGACTACCAT